GTGGTACAGACCTTGAACTGTATTTAGTAGGGAGAGAAAATCTATGACTGGTGTAAAAGAAATTGTTTATAAAAATATCTTGGTATTTCAATGGCAAACAAACTGTATTTTTACTGTAATATAAGAAATACAGATCTTGGTACCTGACTATTATGCAAATTATTCTTGATTAAAATACAAGATATTTGTGAGACTTTATTCAAATCTTAAAACACTCATATAATGATTCTTATTTCATTCCCTGCGGCAAGGTGAGGAAGGAAGGGAGTAGAGAGAGAGAGAGAGAGAGAGAGAGAGAGAGAGAGAGGGGTGGAGGGGAGGGGCTCTTATTAGGCAACTCACTGACACTGTTTTAAAGAAAATGTCAATAAGATGTTAATTTCGGCAACATTTGTTTTTAAGGCTTCCGGTGAGAGGTTTATGAAGCAGAACAAATACATCGCGGTACAAGTTATATAATTTAAGTTATAAAAGACTCGCAGTATTAAAAGGAAAACATGAATATATATGGATGTGAATTTACCTGTAGGTGTTATGATAGAATTTACTGGTATCATTAATATATGTGGATGTAGATACTGTATACATGTGAAATAAAATTGTGTGGTGGTGTGGGGGGGCTGATGGCAGAGATAGGGGTGATGGTGGTGGAGGTAGGGATGATGGTGAAAGTGGTAGTTGGTGATGGTGGTAGGGGTAGGGTTGATGATGAAGGGAGTGGTAGTAGTGGTTATGGTGGTAGGGGTAGTGAGGTGGCTGGTGGTGGAGATAGGGGTGATGGTGGTAGAGGTGTGGGGTGGCTGGTGGTGGAGATAGGGGTAGTAGAGGTGGGGTGGCTGGTGGTGGAGGGGTATGGTGGTGATGGCTGGTGGTGGAGATAGGGATGGTAGTAGAGATGTGGGTGGCTGGTGGTGGAGATAGGGGTGATGGTGGTAGGGGTGGCTGGTGGTGGAGATAGGGGTGATGGTAGTAGAGATGTGGGGTGGCTGGTGGTGGAGATAGGGGTGATGGTGGTAGGGGTGGCTGGTGGTGGAGATAGGGGTGATGGTAGTAGAGATGTGGGGTGGCTGGTGGTGGAGATAGGGGTGATGGTGGTAGGGGTAGTGGGGTGGGGGCAGGTGGTCGATATATCGTGATTGATGGTAAGTTGATTATTATTATGTTTAGTGCCCGTGATGATGCTGCCCTCCTCCCCCCCCCACTTGCATTATTGAGGCAGCCTAATTACCGTACTGCCAGCTGAGGATATGTTGTGACGGACACTCCCTAACCTAACCTCTTGACTATGTTGTACTTGGAGATTGTGTGTATGTGACCATTTATCTCTATATTGTGAAGATTTCTGTCATCGTGGGCTAATAGACAGGTGTTTTGATAGTAGGCAGGTATAGCATAAGTATGGCCTGTGTGTCTGTCTGTCTGTTTTGTGTGTGTGGCGCGTGTGGTAAAGTAATGTCTCTCTCAGCCTCCCAGGTACAATAATGGGTGCTGAGCTGTTCCCGGGAAGACATACCGTAGATACTGTGGATGACTGTGTGTACGAGTGTTGGCTTTGTTATTTATTTAAAGAATGACAATAGGAAATAATAGACCAAATATATCCTTCAGTCTTCTTCCTCTTGTAACAGTGAATGTCTTTACTCACACACACACACACACACACACACACACACACACACACACACACACACACACACACACACACACACACACACACACACACACACACACACACATACACACACACACACACCGTAAAATAATGAAGAATTATTATTTAGTATAAAATAATGAATGGAGCAAAAAGGCCCTTATCAGATAATATTAGCGTGTTGGAAAGTCTGAAGTGAAAATATAATGCAATACATTATACTCGAGGCGTCTTGCTGCATCGCCTCGTAACGTATAATGACTTAAAATAACTTAAAGACACTTCCCGTTCATCCGTTTTCAGGGTTAAGGGAACTTTTTGTGGGTTAAACGTATATATATGAACCAAGAGTGTGACTCACCCGCCCAGGAAGGAGTGGGAGGAAGAGGCTCGTACTAACCAATAAATTGCATGGTAGATTCATCAGGCCATAATACCTTGAGTTATAAAAACGTGCGATAATTTAGACAGTTCTTATTAAAACGACCTCCTATGCTTACATCACATGGGAATAAATCGCTGTGCCAAAATAAATCTCTACAAGGGATCTCTGTTCTAAATTAATTGAACCATCTGTGATGATAGGCGGAGCGAGGAGGGTGTAAGGAAGACAAATTTTGGTTGTCGTGCTAAACGATTGGGAATTGTGCTGAAGAATATTTTTTTTTATAGTCTTGCCGAGAGGATGAAATGTCTTGTGAGGAAATGGTCAATTTATATGTCATGTTGAGGGGCGTGACTGTTCCTTAGCAGGTGTTATGCGGAACGTTTAGACACATTCGAGAGAGGCAGCTTTCGGCCGTCGTGTTTGAAGTCGTACTGAAGACGTATAGGGCAAGAATATTAAATCAACGAATAGAAGAGTCGAGTTGTTACTGGGACTCACCCTTAGTCCACCCAACTGTGAATAGATACCGGTACTTAATTTTACAGTTGGGGTGAAAAGGCGGTCGAGAAAGTGCTTACCACATTACCTGAATCTGGTGTACTAAAAGACTCGACATATGGTGCGCTGTATTTTCACTATCATTAAAAGGGTAAAGTCATCGCACTGCAGAGGTTATGTCACCATCATACAAAGGGTTAATGGTCCTTGCAATGTCTCATCTCAGCTTGCCAACAATGACGCCGTGTGTGTGTGTGTGTGTGTGTGTGTGTGTGTGTGTGTGTGTGTGTGTGTGTGTCTAATAATACGCCCTTTGCTCACTCCAATGCCAGCTATGTGACCATCACTCACACCCGAACATTAAAACATACCAATACAGTGTTGACGAGGCGACCTACATACAACAAGGTGTAAATATAAACGAGTGGCATGAATGGTATGTGTGTGTGTGTGTGTATATATATATATATATATATATATATATATATATATATATATATATATATATATATATATATATATATATATATATATATATATATATATATATATATATATATATATAGGTGTTTTGCTGCATCTACGAGATGTGAATTCACACGAAAGCGCTTAAATCCTTGTGTTTCTTTCTTGTGGTTACTGTGCATATACTAAGATCATGCGTACCTACAGTGATTTATCATATATATATATATATATATATATATATATATATATATATATATATATATATATATATATATGTGTGTGTGTGTGTGTGTGTGTATTAATACAGCATATGTTTACGTGTGAGCAATTTACATACTGTACATGTTCGCCTATGAACGCGAAAGTATGGGTCCATGTTCATTTGTGTATGGATTGTAAATAGTTACATGGACAGGGGGAGGAGGAGGAGGAGGAGGAATGAGAGATGAAAATGGGAAGGATGGAACCAGAAGTGTAAAAGTGGTGGGTGGTACAGGTAGTGATGGTGGGTGGTAAAGGTGGTGATGGTGGGTGGTACAGGTGGTGATGGTGGTGGTACAGGTGGTGATAGTGGGTGGTAAAGGTGGTGATAGTGAGGGTGTAGCTGGTGATGGTGGGTGGTACTGGTGGTGATAGTGGGTGGTACGGGCAGATGGTGGGTGGTACAGGTGGTGATAGTGGTGGTAAAGGTGGTGATAGTGAGTGTGGTGTAGCTGGTGATGGTGGGTGATACAGGTGGTGATAGTGGGTGGTACAGGTGGTGATGGTGGGTGGTGTTGCAGGATAGTGGGTGGTACAGGTGGTGATGGTGGGTGGTATAGCTGGTGATGGTGGGTGGCAGGTGGTGATAGTGGCAGGTGTAGCTGGTGGTGGTGGGTGATACAGGTGGTGATGGTGGGTGGTACAGGTGGTGATAGGTGGCATGGTGGTGAGATGGTGGGTGGTACGGTGTGGTGATAGGTGGCATGGTGGTGATAGGGTGGGTGGATGGGTGGTGATATAGTGGGTGGCATGGGTGGTGATGGTGGTGGTACAGGTGGTGATAGGTGGGTGGTACGGGTGGTGATAGGTGGTAGAAGGTAGTGATAGTGGGTGGCAGGTGGTGATAGTGGTGGCATGGGTGGTGATAGTACAGTGGTGATAGTGGGTGGCATGGTGGTGATAGGGTGGTACAGGTGGTGATGTAGGTGGTATTGCAGGATAGGTGGGTGGTATAGCTGGTGATGGTGGGTGATACAGGTAGATGGTGGGTGGTATAGCTGGTGATGGTGGGTAGAAGCGAGATGGTGGGTGATAAGGGTGATGCGGTGGGTACAGGTGGTGATGGTGGGTGGTAAGGGTGATGGTGGGTGGTACAGGTGGTGATGGTGGGTGGCAGTAGTGGGTGGTACAGATGGTGGTAGTGGTGGGAGGTGGTGGTGGATGTCACAGGTGGTAGTGGTGGGCGGGGATCAGTGAGGCGTGTCTCAGGGTCTCCCCAAGGGTAACTCCGGCCACTAGCAACACGTAGCACCCCAATCCTCGCTTACCAGTCTAGGAGTGTCCTGCCCCGACTCTCCCATCTCGAACACTACATTTAAAAGCAAGATTATAATTATTTTTCTTTTTTAATTTTCAGGGCATAATTTTTTTTCATCACTTGTATTTTATTTATATTTTCAAAGAGTAACCACCCTAATATTACCTGAGGGGGGGAGGGGGGTTCAGACAAAGTTCCAAATATGAAGTTTCAGAAAAGTGTAAAATGTGGGATTTTAAAATACGGGTTAAATATGGATCAGTTATAAAATTAAAGACGGGGAGGAGGACGATGTCTGGTATGGATGTAAGATTTATCAGTGTCTGCTTACGGGGAAATTTTATGATCTCGAGAAGGGAAAAAAATCACGGGAATAAAGGGATCAGGTGGGAAGATTACCTGAGTGATGAATGATGGGGGAGGGAGGGGTTAGGTGATGGTAAACGAGAGAGTGGAAGTTCTTAGAGGTCACAAACTTGGCACCACTAGAGTTCTTGATCTTGGGACCATTGGAGTTCTTGAAGGTCACAAACTTGGCACCACTAGAGTTCTTGACCTTGTCACCATTAATGTTATTGGGGTTCACGATCTTAACATTATTGCCGTTATTTCTGGTGTTCTTGTTGTTCATGTTCTTCTGAAAACTTTATAAGCTGCTGTCTGGGTTCGACACCCTATTCCAGCTTATATCGTAAGACAAACAGACCAAACTTTAGATTAATATTCACTCCCCATTCAATCTTTATCTCTTGACTCCTCTACCTTTCCATCTCCCTTCAAAAAATAATGCTCTCTTCGACAATACAGCCCCTCTAAACCACCCCCTCCCCCTCCTTTATCCCCCACGTCATATTATAAGGAGGAGGGGAAGGGGGGGATGGTGACTGCCACACTAGTACAAAAGCTAATGAACCGGCCCTGTGCTTTGTCCAAAACACCCCCTCCTCCCCCCCTCCCCTTATTATTACCACCCCCCTCCCCCTTCCCTTGGATGAATTATGTACACCTGCTTCCTCGACTAGCAGAGTTCCTGACCCAGGTGCATACATTACCTGCCCAACCACACTCCTACCATGCCTAGCCTGGGACCACTAATTATTCATAGTGGCTCTAGTAATGGTCATGGTTTACCCTCCCCCTCCTTTCCCCACCCCACCCCACCCCCACCCCCCACCCCACCCCACCCCCACCCCACCCCACCCCCACTCCCACCCCACCCCACCCCACCCTCCCTCCCTCCTCCTCCCTCCCTCCTCCCTCCGCTCCCCACCCCCTGTACGTTCCCCTATTGAACAAAACAATATATAAGTATTTTTTTATTAACTAATGCGTATCTCCTATTAAGTCAACATATAATACCTACATCTATCCTCTATTGAGTTAAATAATGTGCGTTGTTTTGTTTACCTGTACGATTTCTCTATTGATCAAATAGGAAAACAAAATGTGTATTGTTTGTTTGTATCCTCGTGTCCGGAAGTGAGAAAAAAATAAGAAAGTGAGTGCCTGTGCAATTTTATTTCTACCTGAACGTATTCTCTATTTGGTTAAAAGGTGCAGTGTTTGTTTACATGTGTACGTTTCCCCGATTGTGCAAAGGAAAGTGTGTGTGTGTGTGTGTGTGTGTGTGTGTGTGTGTGTGTGTGTGTGTGTGTGTGTGTGTGTGTGTGTGTGTACAGTATTTGTTAGTTAAGGTTATGTTCCATAAGACAAAGAGCAAAATTTGTTGTGTCTTTTATACCCTATTAAGCAAAGGAAAAAATTCCGTTTTGGACACTGAGATATATTTTCCCGAATAAACAAAAGTAGAAAACAAAAACACCCATAACATAGTTATGAGCTGTACCTCCTACCGCTCCCATCACCCTCCCTCCTCCCCTCACCCCTCCCCTCCCTCACCCCTCCCCTCCTCACCTCCCCCTCCTCCTCCAGGTAAGTAAAACAAGAAATTGTCTGATCGTGAAGATTACGACCTGTTCGGGAGACACGTCATTCATTACACGAAAGGTGATAGTTCTTCTTGTCACTCCTTTATAATTTATTACCGATGCATATTGCCTTCCCCTAACAAACTTGAACGTTACAGCATATTTTAAAACTAGACAAATTATCTTATAAAATTGAGGAAGAAAACGTAATTTCTTATATTCGTTTAATGTAACGTAAGATTATCAAACAATCTCATAATTTCTTTCCCGGGTAATCGACTCTTAAGTGTTGTTCTGAGACATTATTAGGACCTCTTAAGAGTGAGGTAAATTATCGGCGTCTGAGCCAAGGTAACTTATATACAGGGAGGAAGGTACGTGTTACTCTCCACTGCGGGGGAATTCCTATCAACCGAGTATATATAAATTATTGAGTGAGAGACACGAACGCTTGCTGTGACCCCCAGGTGGCAGCAGAGGTCCATAACACACTGTACACCACCTGCAGGACGGAATCAATAAAGAAGCCGCCACTTGGCTGTTGTTCCTATCACAGGTGTGTGTGTGTAAGTGTGTGTGTGTGTGTGTGTGTGTGGTCAAGCCAAGACACTGACTGTTTGTTTTTTCTTTATCAAAGTTTATTTCTCGAGGTATCATATGATCTCTTGTCTTTTGTTTGGGTTTCTGTCTGTTTTGCTTCCCTGTCTGTTTTCTTGTCTGTCTGTCTTTCATTTTGCATGTGTGTGTCATTTTGTCTTAGATCGTTAAACCACAGCTAGGGTTTTCAGATTCAAAAATAATCAGACGAATGTGATTATTAGATGTGACCCCAGTTCTGTCTGTCTGTCTGTCTTAGAGTAATACTTAACACTTGATGAAATGACTAACACATATACAATTAAAACTAATATAATATTAACACGTACATAAATAAAATTAACGTTGTACTTAGCATTAACATATTTAACAGTGGCGTAATTAACAGTTAAAATTAACACATGGCATTAATATTTAACTTTCTTAATATTAACGTCATTCTAAGTATAAACACAATACGAACTTAATTGGTGACCTTCATATTTTGACGTTAATTAGTGATCTTTGACCTCTACTAATGACCTTCCCCTAGGTAACTTTAACCTCCTGATCTCGTTTCAGTAGTTGCGCTTCACCTTAAACAGGATGTAAGGGGTAGCACAATAAACTAGCCGCCGAAGTGCTGGAGTAAATCTGAAAACAAAGACAAATCTGAAATCGGTTGTGACGGACTGACGAGCTGATTAGTAGTATCGAGTATGGCAGTCGATATATTGCTGTGAGTACTCGACAATGTTCTGTGAGCGTTCGCAGTGTGTTGTAAGCCGGAACATAATCTTGAACTATAGTGCCGGAACTCCCTCCCTAGTTGTGGTTGGGTTAGGTTGGTTATGTTTGGATTAGGTTAGGTTAGGTTAGGTTGGGTTAGGTTAGGTTGGGTTAGCTTGGTTATGTTTGGGTTAGGTTAGGTTAGGTTGGGTTAGCTTGGTTATGTTTGGGTTAGGTTAGGTTAGTTTTAATGTTATATAATACATTTAATCTGTGACGCAATATCCTGGTAGGGTCATACGTCTCCATGATTAACATTAGCCATTATTAGCCGAAAACATTCATTTAATCTATGACGCAATGCTCTGTCTCATAATACGCCTCCATACTTAACGCCCTTGGTGAGTCCTGTCTCCATATGAACATCTTATCAGTGACTCTAGGCATTCACTGTACTTCCACTCTTAGTTATGTAGCTTGTCGGAAACTGTGATCTGAATTGAGGCAGATGATCCAGCAGGTAGCGGGAGGGTTCCATTATCACTAACGACTCGATCACTAATTACCGGATCACCAGGAAAATTGGTTCACTAATTGATGTGACGGCCGGACGAAATATGCTGGAAATGAGTGGTGATTACTTCTAAATTTGAGGCAATAAATACAAAATTTTCCCCGGTTTGTGATCCTCCTCCTCTCCCCCCCTCCCCCCCCCCAACGGTGACGTATCCTAGTTAATGTGAAGCGGTGCGAAAGTTTTAGCCGAAAGAAGGTGATTCGGCGGCCAGCTTTTTTTTTAACAGGAATTTCTTATTTTACTAAATTTCCTTGACGTGGATATCGACCTTGGGAGATGATAGTGGTAGCTTTGAGGATTTAATATATTATAAACAGATAACACGCACGCACGAACGCACGCACGCACTGTTGATAAGTGTGTGTGCGAGTGTGCGTGCGTGCGTCTGTGTGTGTTTGAGCGTGGCGTCACAGGTGGCAGTGCTCCACGCTCTACCTGTGTTACTCTCTTAATGACCCTCTGTTATTGATGTTACCTGGATTCGGTTGCCAGGTGAACGACACCCCTTGTACCACTTAGTAGGTTGTCTCCCCTGGCAACGGTGGCCAGGTGGACAATATGTTCGATCCCATTGAGATATTTTCTCCTACACATCCCCTCCAGCCCAGGTGAGGGACACCCACTGGACGGTGGTGATAATCCTCCAGCTGCCCGGCCCCCAGGTGGGCGGCACCCCACTATCCTATATGGATTAGTCTTTTTGTATCTGATGTTACGATTATATGAGTTATTTATCCATATGTCTTGTCCCTTGACCTAAAGGAATAGTTTATCTTACGCAGCTTGGTCATTACATAAAATAATATTATTTACATGTCTAGTCGTTCCCATCTGAAATATCATTGTTGGTTCAACTTATAACCTATCCATTAGAATTGGGGTCCAGTAAGACTGAAACTCACTAGGAGTGGAACTTGTTAGGAGTGAGAACCATTCTTAATGGTTGGCCGAGGTCTGGTTAGGTTGGGGTTTATTCAAAATAGGAGCTCAATTGACCAGTCACCTTGAAATTGCAGGTGGACAAGTCGTTCACATCGAGAAATAAATCTAAGACATCAGAATTCTACCAAGAGATATTGTCTTTTGTAATCTGCATAAAAGGCTATTTACTACGGTAATTAGTATGAGTCACCTTACCTAAGTGGGAGGGAAGGTGAGTTGATTAAGGCTGGCCTCATAAGCGTTGTGTATTCTGTACCTGAATGTATTGTTACGATGCAGACGTGCGATAAGGAATAACAGTGATGATAAAGCAACACACAATGAGAACGTGGAAGAGAAAAGAATAACAAATAGAAGGTTAGGATACGAGGAAAAAAAACAGGAAGATTGACGTAAGATAATGACGGGTAGTACTTGACAACACTGTAAATTGTTGTGATTCACCTGTAGTCGTCTGTCCGGAAATAATACAGGTGAATTAACGCACAAATGACAGTGTTTACAAATACCAACGTGTGTCTTTTCATTGGCCACAAGGCAAAGAATATGAACCCGGTATTCACAATTCAACTAAATTGTACTCATCAGATCCGGACACACCGTCAAGTGTGCTTACGAGACGACCCGGACTCATTGACAAGTGTACTCAGTAGTCTGGAAGTAATTAACAATACTTATCTTCTGACAAGCGCCCCTTTCCTCTCCCTCCACCCCTCCCTCCCTCCCTCACCAACATGCCAGCAGGAACTACACCCCTTCACTTCAACTCTCTTTTATTCATGCACAGGAGTATGGATTATGGAGGCTCATAAAACAACTATGCATACTTCAGGGACCACGGAAGTTGGAACGTAAACGAAACTGACGACAAGCTTAGAA